ACACAGTCGGAAGGATAAGAGAACAGAAACTTTGAATATTACAGAATAATTTTACAGAGCGACACACATCTCATCTGCGCAGCCAGTGCGTGAATGAAGCGCTTGATGCATCGCTGACACAGCGCGCAGCCCTCCTGTTTCTGAAAACTCCTTCAAAACTTAGTAATGCATTGTAAAGATCCTTAACGCACTAATTACTTCCCTTTGTGCTGCTGAGCCTTTTCTAGTTTTAAATTTCAGGTTGGCCTACTTTGTGTGAAGAGCAGGTAATAACCCTCTCTCTCCAGTGTTGCGAATGCAATATGATCTAACAGACACAGCGCAACATGATTTAAAAACAGCATGAAACTCCTTGTGGCAGGTCAAAGTGAACCCATTTAATGCAAAACTGAATGCATTTCTCCACTGATTATTTATACAATAGGAACAATTAGTCTTGGAGAAAGTTGTATGTGTTGTCGTTAACACGACAAAGTTTGATTTGTGAATGAATGGAGAATGATTGACAGGTGCATCGGAGGGAGCGCTTAACCGAACATGAATTTAACTATGTGAATATTCATCTGTTCTTCACATTAAACTATAGAATGGCTTTAGAACATTTGGGATATAGTAGGCCTTCATGACAACTTTCTAGTGCCTCAGAATAGGCTACATTCATGGCCAAGTATCGGGATCTGTGCGTCCATAGTTGCCTTTCTATCAGCTTGAAATATGGCCATTCTCCTCTGACATCAACAAGCCCTTTGCGCCCACAAAACTGCCACTCACTGGATATTTCTGACCATTCTCTGTAAACCGTAGAGATGGTTGTGCGTGGAAATCCCAGTAGATCAGCATTTTCTGAAATACTCAGACCAGCTCGTCTGGCACCATGCTCTGTTTAAAGTCACTTAAATCAGCTTTCCTCCTCATTCTGATGCTCAGTTTGAACTGCAGCAGATCGTCTTGACCATGTCTAGACGCCTGAATGCATTGAGTTGCTGCCATGTGATTGGCTGATTAGAAATTTGCGTTATATTTATATATACTTTTGATATTTATTATATTCTTGCTGAAAAAGTAAATAATAAGTACATTGGATTCATACATTCATTAAACTAATTTTATTTTTAGTCATATTGTTTGTGTATTTTTCATTTTAAAAGCTTATTCTTTACATAGCTGTTAATGTTTATTTTAACTTTAGTCATTTTTCGACCCAATTACAAATCAGAAAAAGTGAACCAAGCTAAAATAAAATCATTTCTTTGTATATTAAATCATTAATATATATATATATATATATATATATATATATATATATATATATTAAATGCAACATTTTACCTTACGTGGACACACTTCATTTTCTCTACAGCTTCTTTATGAAGCCAGATTCATTTCATCATGCTTGTGACGGGACCAACTATTACTCATTTACCATCCATGCAGCACCTCTCATGCAGATCTCTATAGTCCTACCGGATATTGGTTCGGTTATCAGCGGTAATGTGATGTGTTTGTGTCCTGCAGGGCGAGGGATGGGTGTATCACAATCCTCTCTGGAAGACAAAGTGAAGAGCACATCACCAGAGACACAGACTTCAGCCCGTCTCTGACCTCAGGCCGCACTGAAGGGAGTGGCCATGTAAACGAGGGGCTGGCCAGCCAACGGGACTTCAGCAATGGAGCGAGCGTGTTGTAAGGAGATTGATTGGTGCCAAAAACAACCCAAAAGCCCCTTTGGAGAATGAAGAATGTGGAGGCCTGAACTGTGTAAACCTTGTGCAATATCTTTATATTTGTATATTACTGCTGAGTACAGTGCTTTTCCACACAAGAGAGATCTGTAGCATATGTATCAGAGTATATTCCACTAATGACTGCTCGATGTTGTTTTAGATTAGCTCAGAGGCAGAAGGTATTCTGAGTATTTGAGAGCAGCGAGTAAAAGAGCTGCTGTAGTACATGCTGAGTGTGTATTGATGATTTCACCACTTATCATTTTATCTGAATGGCTGAGTTGCTCTAACCATATGATGACAGTGTTGTGCTTCAGTCGAGTCTCTCGCTCCTGAAGGAAGAATAAAAATCAGTGTTTAAACGGACTGGATTTTAAAATGATTGCTAATGTTTTTGTTTTTTTTGCCCAATCATGATTTAGCGAGGTCATGCATGCATTTGAATTATATTTGTATGTATATATATATATATGTGTGTATATATATGTATGTATGTATATATATATATATATATATGTATGTGTGTATATATATATATATATATGTATGTGTATATATATATATATATATATGTATGTATATATATATATGTATGTGTATATATATATATATATGTATGTGTGTATATATATATATATATGTGTGTGTATATATATATATATATATATATATATATAGTTATAGATATTTATAGTTGAAAGGCCACATTTCTGAAGATCAGCTTTTTAAAGAACTATATATATATATATATATATATTTATACAGAGAATAGGGCTGGGCGATTAATCGAAAAATAATTGAAATGGACATTCAGAGCCTATTCATTTATTATCCTTCAGCTTAGTCCATTTATTCATCAGGGGTCACCACAGCAGAATGAACTGCCAACTTATCCAGCATGTTTTACACTTCCTTGTAAAGTTTTTACACTGCACTTCATTGACTGAATGGAAGCTGCACCAGAGATGCCTTTAAAGGGCATTTAAAACTTGTCAGTGAACTATGAAGGCAAAATAAATAAAGAAAATAATCTTTTATTAATCGTAATCAAGTTTAAATATTATATGAATCGAGGTTTGATTTTAGGCCAAATCGCCCAGGGAAACCAAAACTTTATCTTTCTGTGAATTGAAATTAATATTATCTATCACAAACAGATTTAGTGTGTGTGTGTGTGTGTAGCAAACATTAAATTTAAAAGAAAAAGTTTGCCACAAAACAATTCCTAATTTATTTATTTTTCTCCATTTAATGGTTTATAGTACAAAAAATTATATAATAATAAAAAAAATGTTAAACAATTAATTAAATTTAACATTGATTTCTTTTTTTTTTTTTTTTGATTGCTATGAAATTATTTTAAATAATAAAGAATCAGTTATAGGCTACAATCCATTGCGTTGCTCTGAAAGACGATCCGAAATGGTGGAAAGAGTCATAAATAATATTACAATATTATATTAACCTGTTTTAAAGGGCTTTAAAAAGCACGTTTCTTCCCGCCCAATAGAAAATTTGGTATGTCCTCATGATAATCACATGACTTGAGTAATTTAATTTAGTGAAAAGTTAATTGGCATGATGTGAGTGGTTAGCACTGTCGCCTCACAGCAAAAAGGTTGCTGGTTCAAGTCCAGTTGGCATTTCTGTGTGGATTTCCCTCACAGTCCAAAGACATGCGATCGGGGAACTGAATAAACTAAATTGGCCGTAGTGTGTGTGTATGGATGTTTACCAGTACTGAGTTTAGAACGGAAGGTCATCTGCTGCGTAAAACATATGCTGGATAAGTTGGCGGTTCATTCTGCTGTGGCACCCCCTGATGAATAAAGGGACTAAGACACAGGAAAATAAATGAATAAACACCTAGTGCTTAGCAAGGGACAATTAAATACTTTAATAACCTCAAATAGGTTATTTAATATAAGCTTTTCCATACGTTTCAGAACCATCATCAGCCTTTCCCCCCATTTCTCAGACTTCTGTGATTGAATTTTTTATGGCCATCTATAGGATTTTTCATCTATAGTAACTTTCAGATTTTTAGATAAAAGTAATCTGCTTGACCATATATGTAGAATTAATAAATTATAACAGCATTGCAAACTATCCTATCATACAGCCTCTAATAGCCCATATTAAATTAAATCCAGTTGTATTCAAACACTAATTTTGTGAACTCCCCACATTCACACATTGAAAACTTGCTGGAGATTTATGGATTTATCTGGATTCTTCAAATGTCCAATATTACAGAAATAATCTCAAAAAGGTTTAAAGTGAAGGCAGGTTTCTGCAGGTTTCATAGTTAAATTTAAGACCGTTATGAATGAAATTTTAGACTCATGAAGGACTAAAGGCTAAGGAATTTTTACGAATGACCCAGATAAAAAGCATTTTCATTTGACCTATCAAAAAATAATTATTATTTAATACATTTAATAATACATTAATAATAAACAATTAAATTATTCTAGATTTTATTTCTTTAAATATTGTGTAAAACAGGCAAGCTCTACTTGTATCTATACACTTTTTTCAACAAACGTTCTTTGAAATAAAAAATACTAATAATAAATAAATAATCAACAAATGTTTTATAAGTTTTTAAAACTTTAAGAAACTAAACCTGCAATCTGTCCAGGTCGGTGTTCTCAGGAGTAAATAAACAGAACTTTTAAACAAATGATATTATAAGGAAAATAATGAAACCATTATAGTAAATAGAGTAAAAAAAAAAAAAAACGACCTTTTTAAACAAAGTTTAAAGTTTTATTGAGATTAGGATTATTGGTGATCTCATAAATTTTGGCCAGATTGAGTAGCAATTAATGAAAAAAAGGAAAATTAAGACATGTTTAAAAAAAAGATTGAAAACCTAAAACACAATATTTCAGTAAATTTAAGACTTTTTAAGTCCTAAAATTTGGATTTTGAGATTTGGGACATTTTAAGACCACGCAGAACCCCTGGAAGCTCTAATAAATGACAGAATTTTTTATTCTTGGGTGAACTACTACACCTTTAAGTCATAACTGTTTATGTTACATCATAACTGTTAATAATTTATTAGTTTAGGATCCAGTAAACAAGGTTGGAATGCATCATGCAAAAAAGTGAAAGGCCCTGCGTGCTGTACTGGGGGCCCCACCTGGAGGACACCTGCAGAATAACACCAATACAGCAGCACAGCTTAGGCACAATCTTTTTACTACTCGCATTAAAAACACAAAAAGGGGGATAAAAGATGTGTGCAAACATTGATAAGGCCGAGTCTGTCATTGAGTCTTTTAATCACAAATGGCATCAACTCATTCTCACAAACAGCATCTTTGCCTTTCTCTCACGTTTTTTTTTTTTTTTTTTTAAAGTTTATTTTACAATTTATGGAATAAATTTTCACTTGGAAAAAAAAAAAGACAGTTTTTGCATTTCCAGATGAAAAGCTTCCTCTTCTGAACTTCAGATTTATTCATGTTAATAAATACCTTCCCGTAAGATTCAGAGCCCTCCATGAAAATTAATATAGATATGTTATGGAGAAGAGATGGAAAAACTGATCAGATTTTTCTTTGAATTACTTTACAAAAAAAACACAAAAGGTGGATATCCAGAAAGGCAGAAAATCAGACAAAAAGGAAAAATCAAACAAAGAAAGAAAATGTCAGATGAACCGAGAACAGAAAAACCCATCAGATGTTACAGGAAGCGCCCTTTTCAACATAAAACAAAAGGTTGAATATTCACACTAAAAATACGCACTCTCCACCTGCATGCTACTCAGTAGTGGATCCACATTAAGGTGAACTAAGACAAAGTGCATTCAGGCTAGTAATGCAGCATTTTATAAACCTACAACTAATTCAATTCACTCTTTGTCCTGGCAGACAGTCGTTTAAGAATGTGGGTGGGGGGAGGGGGGGGATTCAATGTCAAATTGGCCCGAGAAAAACAAAAACAAACCATCTGTTCTTCGATTAATGTGCGCAGGAGATGCCACAGCGCCCCCTCTGGACCAAACACAGGAGCAAATAAGGAAATAAAAGCGGATTCTTCTTCATTTAGAATTATTGCATAAAATCTTACAACCAATAGAAAAAAAAGCAAAAGATGTAAAGAACTAAATTATTTATATTGAAAATGACCACAATAGTTAAACATGACTAACAATCGAGTCCTTTGCAATGACTTATAGGAGAACAAAAAAACCCTCACAACTTGAGAGCCAGAGAGACTCACTGCATTGTGTCATGAGAAACGGGTTTGTTAGGTAACATTTAAAACCAAGAGAGCATTGAAAGGGGCTGTCCAAATGTAGACGGCTCCTCGCATCTTTTATTTGTAATTGTGTTTGAATCAAAAAGGTAACAATTTATCACAGGCTCCGACAAAAAAAAAGAAAACTAAAAACAAAACTAAATCTCTTTGGTGCTCCAAGGTTCACTGAGCTCAATGAAATTCATGTGTTTGTTGTTTTAGCATTCGGTTGGATACTATTATTAAACTGTACCACAAAATAGTGCCTGCCGTTTTTAGAGCTCTCGCTTCACCAGAACATTCAAGTACAAAAGCAAAACAAACAAAATAAACACAAGAAGAAAAACAAAGTCCAGAGTTGTCAGATTAAAACCGCGGTGCAGATCCTCCTCCTCAACCCAGTCATGAACCTCAGTGTCGTCATGGCAATCGCAGGATCAAAAGCCTCCAACCAAACGTCGGCAGGTGGGCGGAGCCAGACAACATGTTTGCTTGTTCTTCTTTTTGATTGGTGGATTACTTACTAGTTGCATCGGTCCTTGTCTTTTGTTTTCCTCGTTTTCCGTTCTCAACATTCGCATTCAACAGCTAAACAGACTTCTTGTTCAGTTTCTTGCCTTTTTTCAGAGCCAGCTTGTTTTTGATGTGCCCCCGCTTCCTCTTGGCTGTCTGTGAACCAACGGAAGAAAAAAAAAAAAAAGTCATAAAGTCATTTTAAAATGCAAGTATCTACACCATGAATGTGCAATTCATTTTTCCAAGGGGCCACCTTAGACTCTGGGGCAGTTTTAGAGGGCCAGACCAATCCGCTTGTTAAGTGGTGACGTGTTTGTGACGTATGTAATACTGTTTCCGGGTACAAGCTGCCATTCATTTGAGCGGAGAAATCATTCGTTTATGATCACGTTTTATTCCTATCACACATTAAAGTTAATTTTACATAAAGTAATAGTGTACACAACAATCTCTGGGCTTGCTGCATAACAAATAACAAAAATTTTACAATTTATAAAAAACTAATCCCTTTCTGGCCATCGGATATTAGGCATGGACATATATACTGCCATGTTGATTTTCGAATGTATTAAATCGATTTGTAAACGTTAATTATTACCATTTCACGGGTCTCTTCATTCAGTTGAATAGAGCGCTTGGACCCGGAAGCCGCTTCACGTGACATCACTTAACAAGCAGATAGAGTTGTCAAAAGAATAAAAAATAAATAAATAAATAAATAAAACATTCTTTGAAACTATTTAATAAACATTCATAAAACCAGCATCACAATTTGATTTAAATGCCACAGGTTGTTTGTTTGATTGCTTCACCTCAGTTATTTTTATTTATTATTTCACATTTTTATTTTCATTCATTATGTTTAGTGAGAGAATTCTGGTTGGTTTTTGTCAGATGACTTGTGGTTCTCGCTTGCAGAACTCTAAAAAGTTTAGAATTTTTTCTTCAACTCGCTGTGCCTGGAAAATGTGAGCGTGACATACCGCATGTGAATCCTTTCCTATTTGCGTGCTGAACCCGCGCGTCTTCATTTGAAATAACAAAACTGAGCGTGCAAAATACGCTATACTGTATGTGAAAGTCCAGTTTTGTTGACTCTCAATATCAGACCTGTGTATTGCAAGTTCGCGGTTGAATTTAGATTAAATAAATACGTCACACGTGTCGATCAAAGAAGTCCAGCGGGCCACAAAATGCCCAGGTCTTATCTAAACCATAGGAAACAGAAGTGCTACAATGAACATCGATATAAAATTAAAACGGAAATTTGTTTGCATAACCACTTTTTTAATTACAGGCTAGCATTTGTGTCTTTTAGCTACTTTAATTTAAAAAATAAAAATAAAAAAAATAAAAAAAAAATCACAAAAACTCACTTTTCTTAAAGTAACATATTAACAGTGGTGATAATAACAACCATTAAATAAATTTAATTAACAAATTTTAAATGCAAAATATTCAAAATTACTCATTTTATTAGCTTGAAAAGGTTATAAATTTGTGATGAATCTAAATAAGTGCAATTTAATTAAGTGTTTTGACTGCATTCACTCCGAAGGTGGTGAGAGCGTCAAAGTTCGCTCTCACTGCTCTGCGGACATCGCTGTCTGCCTTCACAGCTCTGCTGGCGAGAGCATCAAAATTCGCTACATTGATCTAGTATTTACAGCATGAAAATGCTGCACACTTTATCATACTTAACTATGGAAGATCAAGTTGTTGCTTGTTGTGAGGCTTTGCTCCATTTATGCAATATGTACTCATATGTCTGAAATATTCTGAAGCAGTAATACTGTTTTGTATTGTATTATGGTTAGAGCGAGATTCCCACTTTAAGAAAAAAATATACAATATATAATATTAATGCACATCAGTAACTCGCCAGTACTCGCCTTTTTAGTTTAAATCACTGTAAGAAACCATTGGAAATGATTGGAAATTAGGCAACTGCAATAATCAAATCCTTGGGAACAACTGTGGTCGGAACCAAAGTTTACAGTGACCATGTTCTCTGGACTCCTCTCAAGCGGTGGACTTCTATATTTGGATTGCTCGCAGCTGAACTGCATTATTACCGATTACCATAAAGTTGACTTGATCTCAACTTTCCTCGACACCCACACCAGTGAAGACGAGCCACTCTTCACTGCGTATCGCCACCGGCTCTTCCGGTGATTTTTTGGGTTCCGGTGTGAATGCACAGTAGGTGTTTTACAGTGTTTAATATATGAAAGAAATAAACTGGTAAAAAGTAAAAAACAAAAAAAAAGTTTACGATAAGGTTTTATAAGTTAAATGTTAAGGTATTTATACTAACATGAACCAAGTGTGAACAATATTGTATTTATTAATCACAGCTTAGCATTTACTAATGTTTTTTTAAATCCAATTTGACTAACATTGAGTAATACAACCTTATTGTAAAGTATTACAATAGAAATGGAATAATTTATTCCTTTTATTTACTATAGGGACAGTATTTCTTTGTGTTTAAAAAAAGTGAAGCAGGTTTGGAAGGAGTGAGTTAATGAGAGAATTCCTTTGTGAACTATCTCTTTAAACATTTTTTTTAAAAAACATTAAAAAGGGGGGGCCCACTTAATTCAATATGTACATATTAGTAAAGTTTTAAGAACACTGAAATGTATAATTCATTGCAATGTACTTGTGTAAATACATGTTTTTAAATAGTATTTAAGCTTGATTATATACCTGTATGTAATCTGTAGTTCATTTCTGTAATTTTATTTATAATTAAATTTGCTGGACACCTTTAACCACCTTATGTCCCACCTCAAGAGCACCAGAAGTGTTCTGCAATACATTAAGTACATTGTATTTATATTTTGATGTCTAAACATATTAGTTCAGGTAAGGTAAAAAAGTAAGACCAAAAAAAGTCCTCAATTTTGTGCTATTAAACAAACTATTTTGTGACATTAATCTTAACCTTGAAGCCAATTTTTAAAAATCACAAACAAGGGCATATTTAAAGTAAAGCACTCTAATGATCACAAGTGCAGTTTTAGCAAGTGAGTCTGGTGCAAGAACCTTTTTTGAGGTGTACTTCTGCTTGGCTGCGATGTTGCGGAGCTTGTGGTCCAGAGTCTGCCGGTTCTCCTGCTTCTTCACCCTGTAGATGCGCACCAGCCAGTGCTCTGAGGTGAAGGCCTCTTCCAGGTGCTTCAGACGGATGTCCTTATTGCCGATCTCCGCATTTCTCGTCCGGTCAAATCCAGGAGGTGTGCGGAAGTCCAGCTGCGGAGACGACAATCGCCATTAGTTTCATTAATATAGTTAATAGCTATGATTCCATCTAAATATGCAAATTAAACTTGTGCACAAAACTAGAATATCACACAAAACATTCGCAAATAATGTTTCCATACAGTGAGTCAGGAAACAAAATTGTCACTTCCTGATAAACTACCATCAAATATCGAAAAGAAAAATAAAATTTGGTAAGAGAAGAAGCTACTGTGGGCCTTAGCGTCTTAGAAGATGGAGAAAGACCAAACGCAATAAATGCACGGTGGCTTTTGGAGGTGTGAGACACTTTGTGTGTGCAGACAAGACAATTCAGGAGGTAATAATTAGACAAGCAATTGAAATTTCTGACCAATTCCGTAGATCACACAGCAAAAAATAAAAAATAAATTTAAAAAGTGTGAAAGAAACATTTAATGACTACAAATCACATTTTAAACATTTAACTGATCGCATAAATCAGTCTTTCTGTTGATCAAAACAAGTATAAAGCCTGCTCAGACGGGGTTGTCAGTGCAAAACTTCTCCATCAGGAGTTCCTCACAGGCTGCGTTAAACAACTCTGGTCACATGTCTTCAGAAAAGCACAACCTAATGTTTGTCTGAACTGTGTATTTAAGGTGAGGTCATTTCACAGTTATGATAAAGTTTATTTTGGCAAACGTTTTCATTATGGTTGTGACTGCTAATCGCAATTATAGTGCTACTTTCAGTTTCACACACTGGAAAAAGTTCAGCGCAGATGACGTTGTGTGCTCTGCTGTGAGTGCGAATGGTGACGCTGGATTTGCAGCGACCAACAAACCGGACCGGCAGAAACTGGCCAGATAAAAATAGTCAGATTCCAGTCTCTGGCCGATCAATTAGTGCATCTTCAGTCAAAATACCAAACCACTTTGATGATAGACTTTGGTTAAGAATTTTAAAAATGACCCAAAAATGGTCATCCAACAATGGAAACACATTTACTGGATAAATAATCCAGCATATGATACTTGACGTAAGATGGGAAGACCCGATGTGACATTGTTAGAGTGATGTACTGTATAATGTTATACAGTAACGCCAAGCCAACAAGTTTTCTTAGCTTGTCACCATCTTCTGCGATAAACTAAGCGTGCGTCAAATGATTCTTCCTGGATCTTCCACTACGAATGCATTTGGCAACATGCATCATATGAAGTCAGATTTGAGATTTTAATTTAAAAACTAAAAATATGTAATACAAAAACATTTCAATCCACTTAAGACAGACGTTAACAAACTTGTGGTCAATGGGTTAGTTTGATGAAAGTTCATGCACTTTTGGAAGCTTTAAAATAAGACTGCATAATATACTGTTTCAGAATCAATAATCCAATGTGTGTCACAGGATTTGCAGTGTAGAGTCAGGGTTATAGTTGACCACTAGCCACATTTGAAAAACGTGATTTAAGGATACATTTTGCAGTGACTCCACAATGTATAAATTTTTTTTAGCATTTGCATGCTTTCTTAAAGGCCACATATGGTGAAAAATCTACTCTTCAAGCTGTTTGAACAGACATGTATGTAGGTATAGTGTATATACCGTCACAATGGGGTGATATAAACGCACTTAGTCCTTTTTTTTTTTTCTCAATTTAACAACACAAAAACAGTGGACCAATTGAAGCGGTTTTGAGACCGAATTGATTGACAGCTGCATATTAACATGTCCCGGTAGTCACATGTTTAATCATATCAACAAGACATAACACGCAAAGTAATCGGGATTAAAAAGTCTGTTCAGTTTACTAGGGTCATCAGTCATCATCAAATCTGAACAAGAGTGAGTTTTACAAGTTTAAAATGTTTTAAAACAGTGCACATGTGTAATGAATTAAAGCGATTTACTTCAGCTTTACTTCATCAGCACTGCCGCATGTCAGAACATTTATAAAAGAAAACGCTTCAACCCCGCTTTGTGGACATTAAATTAGGTTTATTTTGTACATTTAACATAATAGATACGCACGCGCTGTCTGTCTCCGTGTGTGTGTGTGTGTGTCTACACTGTGTATGTATATCTGTGTGTGTGCATGAACTTTCTAACGACATTGTTGTAGAGTTGCTACGATGAGTCACAAACAAATACTCATTGGCAAAGTTCTGTAGTATTTCTCACAAACGCAACGTGACATCTGCTTCCTTTATGTCTGTCTGTTGTCGGACGCAGCCGAGGGAGGAGATTAAGGCACACAGAAAGGCACGTAGAAACGGTGGGCAGACTAGCCTTAAAAGTGCAGTACAACAAAACCACCACCTGGTGCAAAACGGTATAAGATTGAATCTTAAAAAGGTATATTAAAAAAAATCTGATGGGTGTTTTGAGCTGAAACTATACAGACACATTCTGGAGACGCAAAAGACTCATCTTAAATCTAAAAAAGAGGCAACCTAGGTGCCCTTTAAGGCCCATGTTAAGATTTTAAGCCAGTTCAAGCATTTGGGTATTATAACCTATGTTTGCAACTTAAAAAAAAAAAAAAAAAATTATATTTATATTTGCGTATATACCATTTTACATGTGACTATACAGTTTGTGTACCTGAATACTGCTAAAATCCCCCAAAAAACTATAAAGGACTGTTTATTTGTATCTTCGCTCTACAGTATTTAACATTGCTTGAAATTGGTTTATTATAGTTTCAGCAAATACTCTACAAAACGCTTCCAATTACTCTAAAATAATGATTTCTTTTTTTCTCCCATTAGCTCCATTCAAGTCAGCTGATAAAAAGATTCACAATATCGCAGAAAAATAAAAAATACAATGTCTTTTTTTTTTTCCAATATCGTGCAGCCCTACTTAAAAACAAGTCATTAACCGACACGGCATGAAAGCCAGGATAAAATAAAAAGCAAAAAAAAAAAATCATATCCACAGAGAATGGCTTGAGAGTGAGTAAATTATGAGGTAGTTTTCTTTTTTGAGTAAACTGCTCCTTTAACACTGATTTAATAGTTAATTGTTTATTTAAATAAGGATCTTTCTGGGATATTTGTGTAAAGTGACATCCCTGGTCATCACATAACTAGCAGTCTGTTATGTGATGAATGAAAGGGCAGAGCACTCACTTGCATTTCCCCAAAGCGGTAGTAAGACATCTTGTACATCAGGCAGTTGAGCAGGGTGGGAGATCCAGCTTTATCAACCCGAAACTCTCCCTGCGGTGTAAAGTAATCACTTTCCTACAAAACAGGGAAAACAAAACACACATGATTCAACAAACTGGCAAAGAGCAGGCTTCAGCAACAGTAATGGTGATGAGTTTTACTGAAGAAGACAGTGAATGTTACATAAAGCTCTGCATTAAGTGCTGTAGTGACGCTGCGTTAAAGAGGATTAATTTCCAGATATAATGTGCTCTGAGAGAGAGAGCTGATATGACAGTCGAACTGAACGCTAAAGTAAAAAGCCCGTGTGAGAAATTAATTACTTTCACTTGAAAAAATATTAAATGCATATTTAAATAAGACAAAACACTGTATTTCTGTTTCCATTTTAAACAAGCTGAATTCATCCCTTCTTAAAGTTTGATAATATTATAGATGGGTAGTTAAAAATAAATTATAACAAACTAAACTTAGATTTAAAAAGAATTAAATGTGTAAGATTCATCTTGTGGCGTGCAAAGACTATAACAAGGGACTGGCTTAAAGGCTATAAGTTAAAAAGCAAGCAGTGGCTTGAGATAATTGAAGAAACTCTGGTATTGGAAAAACTGACACTTATGTTTAGAATGAGAATTTATATTTTCAAGAAGGGTTGGGGAAAATGGTTGATATGTAGTGAGATATAGCAATCGTTTGTGTTTGCCTTTTACTTTACTTGAAAACTTAACATGTAATAAGAAAATAGTTAATTAATGTAATGTTAACGGGGTGGCACAGTGTTTAGCACTGTCGCTGGTTTGAGAACCGGCTGGGTCAGTTGGCATTTGTGTGTGGAGTTTGCATGTTATCCCTGTGTCGGCATGGGTTTCCTCTGGGTGCTCCGGTTTCCCCTCACAGTCCAAACATGCGCCATAGGTGAATCGGATAAACAAAATTGGTCGTAGCGTGTGAGTGTGAATGAGAGTGTTTCTTAGTAACACTCATGTTAAAACCAGATATTATAAATTTAGTAAAAAAAAATAAAAAAATAAAAAAAAATAAAAAAAATCGAAATGCATATTTAGAGAAACCTATTCTTCATCACCCTAAATTATAATGATAACAAAAATACAGCACACTGGATATAAAACAAGACAGACTGACACTGACCCGAATGTCTTTAGGGTGCTCTCCTTCAGCAATGCGCACCATCCACAAAAACTTGTTGATATCATCTCCCGAATATCCTATCACTCCTCCAAAGATAATCAGAACATAATCCACATCCAGCGACTTCATAATTTCATAGGCTGCACTCTCGTTGGAGGACATTGCTTTTCCCACCTGCAAAACACAACACAGCATTGATGCTGATCTCTCAGTGTCCTCAAGATGGCGCTACTGAGACAAAGCACTGATACCAACACAAATCAGCTCATCTTCAGAAGTCAGTTTATTTTTAAAGGAGACATATCATGGCTGTTCATAAGTTTGAAATTTCAGCTCAGATTAGCAAAATATCACTCAATATCATAGTCAAATTCAGCCCCATTGTGTTTTTATTAGTGCTGGGCAAAAATTAAATCGCATCCCAATCATCAGTTTGTTTTACAATTCTAGCATGTGTACTGTGTATATTTATTATGTATATATAAATACACACATGCATGCATACATTTGAGATAATGTTTATTTATATTTAGACAATATATATATATATATATATATATATATATATATATATATATATATATATATATATATATATATATATATATATATATATATATATACACATGTACATGATAAAAAATTATATTGAAATATCTATGTAATTCGTTTTTTTTTTAAAGAATTTTGCTTCTATGTATGTGTCTGTATCACTTACATAATAAATATCAACACACACACACATATTGTCAAAAACGTATTTTTAATGTGATTAATTGCTATTAATCTTTGCCCAGTACTACAGTATTTACGTTTACCCGTTATGAAACGCCCCTTTTATCATGTTTTTGTGCATGTGCCTTTAAATGCTAATGACCTATTGATCTTTAGAAGAGGGCAGAGTTTACATAATATTCTGAAACCACAAAATTAGCAAATCTCAAGCACCGAGAAAAAATAAATAAATCTCTGACTGAAAAAAAGTCTTCAATCACATGATCCTTCAGAAATAACTCTAATTTTAATTATAATTTTAATAATAATAATAATAATAATAATAATAATTATTATTATTATTATTAATGATAATAGTAATAAAAGCAAGGAGTAATAATTTCATTTCATACATATAAGAAAGCAGTTATTTAAACGCTAATAAATATATTTTAAAAATACATTTAATAAAAGATTGTTCTTGATGAACAGAATAATTTTCTTAAAAAAAATAAAATAAAAAAAAAACTTATCCCAAACCGGTAGAGTATCTATGGGGACTAATGAAGATATATATAATATAATATAATATAATATAATATAATATAATATAATATAATATAATATAATATAATATAATACACACACAATTTAATTTTTTTTCTTTCTTAAATATTTCCCAAAAAAGCAGTTTTTAATTTTTAAAAAACATTTTTGGGACAAAGTTTTTAGCCCCTTTAAGCTTTTTTTTTTTTTAAATAGTCTACAGAACAAATCATCATTATACAGGGTGGGCCATTTATTTGGATACACCTTAATAAAATGGGAATGGTTGGTGATATTAACATCTTGTTTGTGGCACATTAGTATATGTGAGGGGGCTTTTAAATAATTCATAAAAGAATAAAGTTACGTTTAAAACCAAGCACACCATTGTTTTTCATGTAATATTCCCAATAAGTTTATTAAGGTGTATCCATATAAATAGCCCATCCTGTACAATAACTTACCTAATTATCCTATATAAATGTGTCTATAGAAAATCATGGCTGTATGACAAATAATGTAATTGTTTTAAAGAATTTTAAAGGCACTGTTTATATATATATATATATATATATATATATATATATATATATATATATATATAAAAAACATTTCAGAGAAAGGCTTACCAAAACAAAATTACTGAATTGTCTTTTTTTCACATTTATTGGGTTGGCAGAAGCCATAGGACAGTATAAGATTCTGACGGTATGATAACCTTAGAATGAATTCACACGACTGCGATTATATCTTTAAAATATGTTCTTTTTAAATGTCCGGGGGGGACCATTTTTTTTTCATTGGTTATAAAGCAAGTTCTGTTCAGGTGTTTTTTATTTTTTGCTGAATTGTGGGCTGACCAGATTTTCATGTGGAGGGTAATTTTCTGCAGGAGATATAAAAAAAAAAATAAATAAATAAAATAGTAAAAAGCATGTTTTAAAAAACTCAATTACATATATGATGGGAACGGTTTAACACAAAAGTTTAGCGGTTTTAAAACCTTGACTTTCTAAACCGCGGTAAACCTTGAAACAGGTCATCATCCCATGCCTATTTGGCAGATGCACCAGAAACCCAATTATAGCACTCAAATCTGGAAAAGTCATACTTTCATATGTCATGTCTCCTTTAAATGAGCATTAAAATAGTTGGTTTTCCTCACCAGTGCTATGTGGCTGTTATTCCACGTGTTGTTGTCCACCAGTGTGGTGCGGTTGGCCATGCCTGCGATCTGATAACCATAGTCCCACCAGGACATCACTCGAGCGTGCTCATCTGTATTCTGCCTGAGCCAGTAATACGCTTCACGGAAATCATCCAGAATGTTCCGTGATCTGAAGGTAAAGTAGAATAAAATCAATAACTCAAGTTTTTCTGCTTTTAAAATAGAAAACGGGCCAACATGACTGTGTGGTTACCCGTCATGGTTGTATGATGCCAGCACGACACTGGGACTGGAGTAGGCGTTGCTGGTGACCCATGTGCAGTGCACCGCGAACATCATCAAGAGCATCAGCATTAACATGGTCACGATGCTTCTGATGTTCGGGCCCAAACCCTCTTCTGGACGGTCCTGCTCAGACACATGCTTTCGGACTTTACCGGCCTGCAAATGCACACAGACACACCAGTTAGAATCAAAATAAACATATGTAAGTTTGTATGCAAGCAAACATGTAGGCATGGGCGGGTATAAGGTTCTGAAGGTATGATAACCTTCGATAAAATAGCACGGGTTCACGGTAATGCGATTACTGCTCTAAAATTAGTTCTTTTTAAATGTTTGGGAACAGAACAAAAACTGTTTTCCCTATAGAACACAATTTCTTTTATTTTAAGAAACATTTATAATATTTTGGAGCAGCAAACATGTCAGACTAAAGAGCCAAAATAAATAATTGACCACTGCTCTCTTAATTGGTTTCAAATACACAGATTTATTTACAACACATAAAAATACATAAAAAAAACCTTACATATACCTTAGGAACAGTTTAACAGAACATTTTAGCGGTATTAATACATTGACTTTTTCAAAATAAAAAGACCAAATAATTTTGTAATCTAGTTAATCAAAAGTGCTTTTTTAGAGGTTCAGCAGCCTTTGACTACATTTGTACTCTTTAAAATAGAAATATTTACATGTAACTTAAATAGTTACAGTAGATTTACATTAGACAAAGACAATTTTCTATATATTTTCATTTATTCATTGTTCTGTCATTTATTTTCAGTGTAAAAGTAATACTTGATTAAATGTCAAAACCTTTTTTTTTACGTATTCTTAAGTCTAAGGAGAGAAATTAACTACTGTTTGTTTTTTTATCAATATTATTTTGTTCTGTAATATTTGGTTATGCCGAGTTCAGATTTTTAAAGTCATGTCACAGATGTTTTTACATAGCATTACTATCTGGGGTAGCGTTTTGTCGGTGCTGTGTTTACACTGCAAGATGGATTGGAGACAGGGGGTTTCAGCTATTTATTATATATTCAGCACATTAACATGCCAAATATCTCAAGGTTGTCTGTGACTCATCTACGATTCTCTCAGATCGTGTCTATGATAGTTTATACTGTGCGACTTTTACTCGTGTGATCGAGCATCGATTTTCCTGTAACTTTAGGTATTTGTCAGTGATTTCTCAAAACCTGTAGGTTTCATGTAGTCTGAACTCGGCATTACTGTGCAGCAACAAATAACACTTTCAATTTAAAGAGTTTTCATGTGATTTACTAAACTATTAGTTTTTAACCATGATTAATCCTCACACTATAATCGTACCACTAAAATCTATAATTGTAGCATCCCTAATTAAGATCTTTAACCATACCAAATTGTTGTTATGCCCAACAAACAAATCTAAAATAGCTAATAAAAACACAGAAACTTGCCAACAGTTTCATTTTAATCTATAAAAGCTTTATTAAAACATTAAGTTGTAATATTTTGTTTTAAATTATAGATTTAAATATTAAAAGATCAAATTATAAATTATTATAATATATTGTTCTTAAATGTATCACCTTACGAAAAAGTATAAACGCACATTTTTTTTAAATTTACTTATTGAAATTATTTTTATATTTAAATGCAGATCTAATTGTATAGTAAAGCTTCAAACTTTTTTTTCCCACTGAGCCTGACCTCTGAACCTTCACTGACCTTATCATAGAGGTTGCCCTGATTCCTCTTGTCATCCTCATCACTGCTGTCCTCAGCCGGTGGGTTTTCACGCTTCAAATCGTCCCCTAGGTAGTGCTCGAAGACGCTGGAGAAGGCGATGGCCGAGAGCATGCAAACCACTGGAGTGAGTGTCAGCATCAGACGCACCATCACTCCAGCAAAGTAGACTGCGCTGATGGCATACAGAGCCACTAGAGGGCGACAGAGAAAACACCAGCTATTATTCCTGCAGATAATTAACTGCTACCTAGTGTTTATAACCCTGCACTGAATAATGACTCCAGAGAGAATCTCAACAGCACAGAAACAAGCCTTTAAACATGCCGCGACATGTCGTCTGTTCACGTTCCCTTGTTTGTTCTGCTCAAAAGGCATCAGGACCGTCATGACAGCCATTAAAAAAAATTAATAATAATAAAACAAACTCTTCAGGGGACTGAAACTATTTCAGTGCATCCTGTTCTCAAGTTTCTCCATAAATGAAAATGCTCGATGCAGACATCAAAATCGAAGAGGTACAAAGAGGATACAAACACTACAGCTTAAAATTGATCATAATAAAGTCTGCAGAGAGAGAGAGAGAGAGAGAGAGAGAGAGAGAGAGAGAGAGAGAGAGAGAGAGAGAGAGAGAGAGAGAGAGAGAGAGAGAAAAGAGAGAGAGAGAGAGAGAGAGAGAGAGAGAGAGAGAAAAGAGAGAGAGAGAGAGAGAGAGAGAGAGAGAGAGAGAAAAGAGAGAGAGAGAGAGAGAGAGAGAGAGAGAGAGAGAGAAAAGAGAGAGAGAGAGAGAAAGAGAGAGAGAGAGAGAGGGAGGGAATGAGCTTAAGTTGTACTTCTGGAGGTCTAATATTGAGCTTTTTTAGAGAATTGAGGAACAAAAACATTTAAGGCAAAAATCAGCAAGCAAAAACCTTCTTCATGAGCTTTCATTTTCAATATTTTTGGTTTTCATTAAATGTATTTTTAGAAAACATCTAAATAGTGCTGCACAATATATCACTTCAGCATTAATATTGCAATGTGTGCATCCGCAAAGGTCACATTGCAATAGATATGCAATGTTGAGTTGACTTTGCAGCTTAATCTTTACATTTACATATACAAAACCATAAAGCATGCACAGTTTATTTCACTTTTATCTTGGCTTTGTTGCACTAATTTATGCTTTTAGTTTATAACAGTTTATGAATGATTCACTGCCCAACACAATCATCCCAACCAATCAAAATGAATACATTCAGTAACACTTTGGAGTAATTATCACTATTAACTACGGTAGTTAGCAGTTACTTATTAGGATGCATGTTATTGCGATATTGGCTTTTAAAACTTATGTACTACATATTCTACATTACTAATCCTACACTATACCCAAACTACCTCAACTATTAATAATGAGTTTATTGACGGAAAAGTCATAATGGTTTGCAAGGAGTCACAACTGAACCTTAAAACAAAGTGTGAACAAAATATTAATATCCAATAAGTGCTATTTAATCATTTGCTGGAATTAAAGATAGAGAGATACACTCAGCTGCCACTTTATTAGGTACACCTTACTAGTACAAGGTTGGGCCCCCTTTTGCCTTCTGAACTGCTTTAATCCTGCATGGCATAGATTCAACAAGGTACTGGAAATATTCCTCAGAGATTTGGTCCATATTGACATGATAGCATCATAGCAGATCTGGTGACTGTGGAGGCCATTTGAGTACAGTGAACTCATTGTCATGTTCAAGAAACCAGTCTGAGATTATTAGCATTTTATGACATGGTGCGTGTTATCCTGCTGGAAGTAGCCATCAGAAAATGGGTACACTGTGGTCATAAAGTGATGGACATGGTTAGCAACAATACTCGGGTAGGCTGTGGTGTTGACATGATGCTCAATAGGTACTAATGGCCCCAAAGAAAATATCCCCCACACCATTACACCACCACCAGCCTGAACTGTTGATAAAAGGCGGGATAGATCCATGCTTTCATGTTGTTGATTCCAAATTTAGCCTACCATCTTCTGACCCTTCTCTGTAAACCCTAGAGATGGTTGTGCATGGAAAATTCCAGTAGATTTGCAGTTTCTGAAATACTAAGGGCGTACTCACATTATGGTATTCAAACCGGCCAAGGCCCGTTTCTTGGATCTGAATCGGGCTCAGCCACACTTCACTTGGCCAGCCCTGGCCGGGTTGGAAGAGGTGTGCCAGAGCACTTATTAGTTGGGCTTTGGCGTGGTATGCTTGTAGTGTGAGTGCAAAGCGAGCCCGAGTCCGAAACTAAAGATGAGACGTAACTTCAGGGACTTTTCATGTGTTTATTAATCATTCTTACTGTTTAATAAACACAAACTGTCGTAGATTATTAAAGACGAAAACCTCTAACTGCATGACGGATGCACCTTCAGCAAACCTCCTAATACCTGCAGCACGAGGTCTTTATGATTGTTTATGAGCGTCAAAAGTGGCTGATCTATTCGCCAAAATATTTGATTGTGTCACTGCATATCAAACGGCTAAAACAATATAACTAAAGAAATCCCCACTGTGCTGAGCGAAAGCGCTTCTTAAAGAAATAGTGCATCATCGATAACGCAAGTGTGCTCAGGAGCGAATGCAATGCAAGTGCAGGCCGTCAGGGGAGACAGGAGGGGGGACAAGCGTGCTTCGGCCCAGTTCAAGGCAACTGTACATAGTGCGAGTGCGCCCTAAGACCAGCCCGTCTGGCACCAACAACCATGCCATGTTCAAAGTCACTTAAATCACTTTTCTTCCCCATTCTGAAGCTCTGTTTGAACAGCAGCAGATCACCTTGACCATGTCTACATGCCAAAATTCATTGTGTTACTGCCAGATTTGCGTTAACGATCAGTTGGACAAGTGTACCTAATAAAGTGGCCATTGAGTGAATAATCGTACAAAAACAAAATATCGCAATTTTAGATTTTTCCAACATCTAGGCCTCATCTAAAATTTACTCTTAAGTGTTTTTTTATCACACCTTATCAATTTGCATTTGTAGATTGATTAAAAGTCATATTTTAAGGCTGTTCTCTCAAAATTAGTTCCACCCCTCATACTGAATTGAGCTAATAATGTGAATATTGTTCAGCGTTTGCTGCTGTATTTGCAGTATTTTCTGAATTATAAAGTGTTAAGAGATACCCAAAATCCCCTCCATAAAATCATTTAACTTCAACATGGCAAAATATATAAATTAAGAATTTAATCTAATCTAAAACTCAGAATTATCATCATATTTTTAGCGTTTCTAACAATAAAAACTTAAAGGCAGAAACAAAAGCTGGCATTTTGTGAAAAATGTTAGACAGATGAACGTGAGCTGAATTGCAAGGCTGTTAGAAATGCTCACCGAAGACTCGCTCATCGTTGATGTTCTTGATGCAGAACCAGAGGCCTGCTGGGAAGGTGCAGACCAGGATGTGCAGGTCAAAGAAGAAAGAAACCCAGGTTGTGGGCTGGTGCTCAGACACTGAGGCGATGATAGGGATGTGGATCTTTGCATATCTGAGAATAACAGACAGAGAGGGCTTTCTTAGCTTACCATGTAAAAAAAAAAAGCTACAAATATAACTCACTTTAAACTCTCATAGTGCAGAAGAAGTCATTAAGCTAATCAGCTTTTAAGTCCCCATCTGATTGGCTGAATGCTGCTAGATTTCTGTGAAATTTCACATCCTTTAATGAGCTGCTTTAAAAAACAAAAAGTAATTGCTGCCAATTACTGTTCTATGTTGCACAGTCTAACCTGAAAGACTCAATCAACTAGTTTTTTTCATTCAGTTTGAACGAACTAGGGCCTGTCTGGTCACTTTAAAATTAAAGTAAACTACACAAATGACCTAAAATTATGCCAGAAGGCTTAGTCTTGTGAGACATGTCAGAAAATATGAAACAAGGATTGGCTTATTGACAGACACTAATCATAAAGAGCTTGATAAAGAGCTCAGTACCTACTCAATTAATACTTATTTTGTACAGTATAATCTTTAATTTAGCCAGAGGAAGCCTCATGTGCTGGTTCATAGTGCCTGTCCTATAAGAAATGTATTCTGGGACTACAGTGTTAGACTGATAAAAAAAAAAAAATTAAGAAAGTGTGTTATTGTTTTATTATGGGAACAAATCATCAATTGGAGGGATGAAATCAAAACCTGATTTTTATGTATAGTGATAAGCTAACACACAACTAAATCCCCAAAAATGAATGTAAATTAATCTGTAAATTATTACTTTTCAAAAACACACAAACAGAAAATTTAAGAAAATATACGCAAAAATTTTATATAGAATAATATATAATAAAAAAATAGAATCTTCATTCAGTATTAAAGGCTATTTATAAGAACTTTTGATTTTCTGGATTAACTACACATTTAAAAACCATTTAAGTAACTGTATTTATTGAAATAAGTCATTTTATTGCATATTTATATGCAATATGTATGCATTATATACATATGCAAAAAAAATGTGTGTGTGTGTGTGTGTGTGAGAGAGAGAATATATATATTTTGTATTCACCAAAATTTAGCTAATGACATTGAGCGGATGCTTTAAGCACGTAGTACACCATCAACAAATAGATTAGCTTTAAATCATTTCAATCCCAGTGTCAGCGCATATCAGTGCTATATCACGAGAACAAACCAGAAGATGCGAATCAAATCGCATGTTTTCAGTGTAGCAGCACGCTGATACGCCAGCTTTTGAGGAGAAGATGGAGTTAAAAGATGGAGTTTGATGAATTGGATAACCCTGTCCGACTGTCAGTGAATGGTAAATGTAAACATCCTTTACCACAAAGCTCTTTGCATTATAAGGAGTAAGATAACATCGTACAGATGGTGTTGTAGCATGCATCCATAATGTTTTTTTGCGCAGTGATGCTACTTTAAATGAGTCCGACATTAAACAGCAAAATAACACATGAAGATTATATTCATATATATATATATATATATATATATATATATATATATATATATCATACATACATACATACATACATACATACATACATACATACATACATACATACATACATACATATATATATATATATATATATAAATATTATAAATAAATACATATATTATAAATAACTTCACACATATCTGTGTGCTGACGATGTATGCATTATTTCTGCACTAAAATATCTGTTATTACATTTATTAGTAGTATGAGCCATGATCAACTTGTTGACTGCATTAATTTAGCAGTAAATTTTGCCTGGGTGCTGACTTTGCATTATTAACAAAATGAAAGTATTGACAATGCATTTGTTTTGCACTAAAATTAGTCATTGGTAATGTTGCATTGTTTTTGCAGTGTGTTATGAGCTGTCAAACAGCATGTGTATACATTTCCTGCAAGTAAACTGTAAATTGTAGCATGTTGCAAAACATTTGCATCTTTTATGTGTTTTATCGATGACATCACCAGCCACTAATCAATGTTCACTCGCCTTTGATAACAACTCGAATTCCAAAAACGTAAAGTTGTTGAATTCCCAATATCTATTTTGTTAACATGAAATAAAGCTACTGTATCATACATAATTTTGGTCACTTTGCCCACCTCTAAAATGAACCAGTGGAGACTTCATTAATGTGCAACAAACACCTTCAAAACAACAATTAAGGTGACATTTTACACACCCTTAAAGATTTTCCTTCCGATTTGGTATTTCCCTTAAAACCCATTTAAACTGTTTGAGAAAGGAGCTCCACTGAATTGAGTCGGTTTCAAAAGCAAAGTGTCCACAAAATCCATATCAAAGCAACACTTTGAAGAAAAAAAGCCTCTTTTAGATCACTGAGGAGCATCTCCAGCGGCAAACAAAAAGTTTCCCTCCACTCCCCAAGGACAAAAGTTTGCCTTATAAAAAAAAAAAAAAAAAAAATGAAACCTAATAAGTGAAACCATGTCAAGAATTCGGACAAGCGAAAAGCTCACAGTATGCGCTAAACTGGGCGCAGAACAGGGGGTTACTTGTTGTGGAGTCTCTGCTCATCAATTTCCCTGCGTTACTGCACTCAGTTTTGGCCACTATCAGTGTTGTGATCATTATCTGATGACCTGCCCTTCGCTATCTGTGCGGACTGCAGTTCAGATGGCTGACTGCGCACAGCAAGACTCTGGCTCTCCCTGCAGAGCTGCTGCATTGAGGGAGTTCCACATTTATGAATTTATGATGGGAGACTTTTCACTGAGGGCAAAGAACAAGCCGCCGCCGGAAGCAAACAGCATATGGGTTTACGGCAGCAAGTAGCGGTGGTGGACCTGCAGGGCTGATAACATAATCGAGGTTGTGATGTAGGCTAGGGCTGCACAATAGATTGCTTCAGCTTCTACACTGCAATGCGAGCATGGGAAAGATGTACAAATCGCAGGATATGCAAATGCTGAGTATACACTTCATATATTGCAGGATTATTATAGTCCAGAAGCCACAGTGTAGAATGTAAAAGTATTTGTGGAGTTTAACCATAATGGGGTGAGTGTTTATTTTTTATTTTGAAAATTTCAAGAGAGTTTAAATAATCTAAGCACAATAAAGTATACCTTTTGTTGCTATAATAAAGATTACTTTTCTTGAATTATTTATACAATAATTTCATTTTTTTTTTACATTTGATAATTTAATTTCTGCACCTGAATACTGCAGGACTCCCTTAAAACTCCAGTTTTTACATTTTTTTAATTATTTTACTATTTTCTTTGCTCTACTGTATTGTTTGATATTTGTTTACTATATTTTATGCATGATTTACTCACCTACAGAATCATTCCAATCAATTTAAATTAATAAATTCTTTCCAAACAGAGATTGAGGCTTCGATTAAATAAATGCATAAATAAATAACTGCATAAATAAATAACTAAATGCATTAATACAAGAATAAATGCATTAATAAAGGCATAAATAAATCAAAGAATTTATTAATAAATGAATGAAAGGAATAAATAAATCAATAAAAGATAAATAAATGCTAAATATTTAAATGCATAAATAATCAAATGCTTAAATAAATAAATGTATAAATGCATAAATAAATGAATGAATAAACAAATAAATTGCTAAAAATAAATGCAATAATAAACGAATGAACAAATGCTTAAGTAAATGCATAAATGAATAAATGCAAAAAAATGAATAAATGAATGTATAAATAAATTAATAAATTAAAAAATGCATAAATTAATAAATGAATTCATTAAACATAAATGCATAAATGAATGAATGGCTGAATAAATAATTGAATAAATAAAAAATGCATAAAGAAAAATGCATAAAGAAAATGAATGAATTAATAAATGCAAAATTAATAAATGAATGAATGCTTAAATGAATTGTGGTATAAGTAAATATATGATTAAGTGTAAAATATTAATAAATGCATAAAATATAAATGCATGAACAAATAAATAAATTAATAAATAAATCAATAAATTTTATGCTGATCTAATATAGGCCCATCTGTAACAACATCCTTGAAGCAGTTTGAAACACAGTTGTAAGATTATTTTCTCTCCCTCAAATGGTGATGTACTAAACCGAAAGTCCTGAAAACTTTTAGCTAAGAGTACACTAGACACTTTAACCAAACACCCAATATGTAATGCAGAGCGAGTGATGTGACAAAACTGGAACGTTTTGTGAGAACTTGCACTCAAGCGCATCTCTCAAAAACATTTGCAGTGACAGGTTGATTGCAATGGGATGGAAATGTTCTAGCATTGTCGCATTGTTCGTTTCTTGTGTGTATCATTTCATAAATTAGTCGTTTCATGCAGGTACGAGAGGTGATGGGAAGTTGAGTGCTTGAGTCTCGGTCTACTGATGTATAAATCAGCAATAAATTACATCAGGTACACTTCAGGAGTTTTGGATATGCAGCCTATACTATAGATGTCATTCAGAAAAAACTAAATGTACGAGTCTTAGGAAAACTAATGAAAAAAGTTGTCTGGGTCACATTCTACCTCTTTCTCTAACTTTTTTTAAACTAAGATTTTTATAACATACAAATTTTCATAACAATTGAGCACATTTCACCCATTAAAAATAAAATTAAATATTTTTATAAATAAATAAAAATCAAAATAAATATATGTTTATATAATAATAATTAAAATAATAACAACAACAACGACAAAAAATAAAAAGAAACAAATTTTAATTAGAAATAAAATAAAAACTAAATTTTAAAATTATTTATATATATATATATATTTATATATATTTTTTATAAAATAAATATAAATAAAAAAAATACTAAATAACATTTTTATTTTAAAATAAAAAAATGTAAAGAACAAAAAAATAAAAGAAAAAAATAAATCAAACTAATAAAAAACAATATTTTTAAATTTACACACACACACACAAACACAAACACACAAACACACACACACACAAAAGTAGAAATTATTGTAAAAATGTTTTTAATAAAAATAAATACAATTTAAAATAATATAAATACATAAATATAAATAAAGAGAAATACATAAAAATAAATTAATAAAATTAATAAAAAACAAACAATATATTTTAATAATAATAATAATATAAATGATAAAACAAAAAAAATAAAAAAAATAAAACAACTATATAAAATAAATATAAATAAATAAATGTAATGATGATAATGATAAATAAAATGAATTAGACAAAAATAAAATAAAAAGAGTAAGTGGCGACGTAGTAGGTAGTGCTGTCGCCACACAGCAAGAAGGTTGCTGGTTCGAGCTTGGTCAGTTGGCATTTCTGTGTGGAGTTGGTATTTCTCGGTCTCCCCCATAAGTCCAAAGACATGCGAAACAGGTGAAATGGGTAAGCTAAAATTGTCCGTAATGCAAGTGTGTGAATGAGTGTTAATGGATGTTTCCCAGTGATGGGTTGCAGCTGGAGGGGCATCCGCTGCATAAAAATGTGCTGGATAAGTTGGCGGTTCATTCCACTGTGGCAACCCCAGATTAATAAAGGGACTAAGCCAAAAAGAAAATGAATGAATAAAAAAAAAAGAAAAAAAGTCCAATCCTGAAGATATTTTTACAAAAAACTGGTTTATGGGTCTGCTAGTGTAAATTTGCAAACTAATAGATTTTATTTCAGTCTGTTAAATGAAAGCATGCATTTTAGTAAGTTTTGTAAACAAATAAACAAAATACTAAAAACTTTGTTCATATTAAATATAGAAGGAACTAACAGTTCATTCAGCTAACAGCTAATAATAATCACAAAAAAAGCTAACGGTAGATATTTGAGGGTTTTGGATAAAAAAAAAAAGACCCAAACATTTTTCACAGATTCGGCAAAATTCTATTAATCAAAAATAAAATTAAATAATAATTAATATCTGTCATGCTGTGTGCTTGTGCGCTAGCACCACCATTTCATTTGTGTTTTGAGTGCATATGAACCAAACGCAGCTATTCACAGCAAATTTTAGCCAAACTAAGAGCCCCACTTACACACACAAATCATGCTACATACTTGAGCCTGCGACAAAAATCAGCTCTTTTGTTAAGCCGTTTAAAGGGGTGTGCTAATGAGCTATTAGCAACTCACTCATACCGCCGAACACCAAAACAAAGAGACTGTATGCAATGTAAACGGTGCGGCATACTTACCCAGTGTCCCAGAGAGAGTAAAAACGCCCACTCCAAGGAGCAATGTACCCTGAAAGCACATTAACACAACAGAGTGATTAAACACAAACACACGCACGCAAACCACCCGGCCGTTACCGACTCAAGAGCACTTTCAAGCAGCTTCTGAGGCGCTGACGAGCCTGGACAACATCCAGTGAACCCTAATACCACACATATAGCCGGCAACGTTTTCAATTAATCTACAGCGCGAGACTGCACTCGGTTTGAAAAGCAGTGTGGCGGGCGAAGGGAAGTGCTTAATGAGATCTCAGAGGCCTGCTGCAGACGAGGCCCTGCAGAAGAAAGATTAATGAAAGCCCCGGGTGCGACGGGAATACAAGCAAATCACCCTGACTCCATATATACCGGCAGAGGTGACGTGTTAAGAGGCTGAGGTCAGGGAGTCACGCTGCATTCAGGTGAGAAGGCAGAGAATTGGACGTGACGCTGTGGATGTGTTTTTCTACTCCTCCACTGAACGCGGTTTGGTTAAGGTGATTTAGTCAAGGGCGAAATCTTAAAAAGAAGTTGGCGTGCGGATGTCATCAAGGGTGATGTGTTGCTTGAAAGAAAAAAAAAAAAGTGTTTTATAGTCTATCAGCACTGTGTCCTCTACTTGACAAGTAAAAAGCAATGAAGCTTTTTAATATTCGACGGGGGGAAAAATAATAATAAAAACCGTATTCTGCAAATCAGTCAGGCATGGGAGAAAAATTATTATGGTGCAATCTATTCACTGACGATGTAGCTAGCAAGCTGACACTCGCGACCTTTTGATAGAGAAGGGTAAAATGTGAGTAAAGCATACAAACAGAAGCATGTTTAACACAGAAACATACATTTACATTGCCCTCATGTACAGCTGCTGTGTTTGATGGGATTTTGTTATGCTACAAACCTAACATGTTAAGGAGACAGCAGTTTACCCCAAAAATGAAAATGACCTCATTTACTCAGGCTCATGTCGTTGTACACCTTTGAGTTTATTTCTTCTCTTGAACATAAAAGATGATATTTTGAAGAATGCTGGCTCGTTCAGACCTAAAAAATCTTGGGTGCTAGGGGCTGGGATGCAAAGGAAAAGAAACCAAAAAGCCACTCTGGCGACATCCTTACACCTTTTTTTAATTATTAAAAATCTCCTCACTGCGGCTTGTCAAGGCACTAATTTGCATGTGTTATTCTGACCTGAGGTTGCAATGATGCAAACCAACCTGTTCACATATCGTGTCTAAAAGCGTGCGTGTGGATTCCTTCACCATTTTCAATGCATTTTGCGCTTGCGCTCTCCTGGGGACTCATGTATCAACGCTGCGTACTCTCAAAAACTGTGTACGGCAGATTTCACGCTCATGTTTGGATTTACTAACGATGAAATTAAAGTGAGATTATGCGTTGGTCCACGCCAACTTCACGTCTGGCATATGTGTATTTCTTGTGTGTGTTTGTTTTATTTCCATTGGCGACTTCGAGGCAATTGTGCTAAATTGCACACAACAAAGTCATGCCAACACATGTGAAAAACATTGTTAATAATTTATAATTGATAAAATAGGTTAACTGACACAATTATTTACCAATTATGTAATTTAGAACATATAAAAGCATTTGCAAATGTATACAACCCTGAGTCTATGGCAATGTTGGCCTTTTTAGAGGACATCCTCCAAAATGGCAGGGTGCGGAATGGGTGGCTTATTGGTGAGTGATCTATTTAAAGATATTATTCCAGCTAGGTTTTTTTTAAATTTTTTTTTTAATAAGGGTAATTATTTAACTGCATATCAGGAGACCACAGTTATCCATTAAAGACGTGGCTGTTAACCCCCCTCAACATGCCCACTCTTGCACTCGGTCAGTTGTAGAGCGGGCGATTGGGCAGCTGAAATGTCAGTGGCGCTGCCTTCATACGAGTGGAGGGGTGCTGCTATACCACCCAAACAAACTGTTCCTCTAATACATCTGTGTCTCCCACAGACATGGATACTACTCCAGACAGTAAAGTGTCGCCCACAATTGAGGCAACTCTCACCTCAAAGGGTGTTAGTTCAGCATCCCTTTCCCCCGCCTATTCATTCCACACTGACAGTGCGCCGCTGTTCTCCTCTTAGCCTGCATCTTTACATCGGACCATTTCTTTTTTTTAATTTACTCACCACGTGATGTTCAGACCCCACTGCGTTAACTGCTTCAGCTCAACTCTCCCACTCTGTTTTGTTATTAATTTTGTAGGACAAACTTGCAAATAACAGTTCTTCTCCAGTCTACCTCCGATAGGAGCCCTTCCAATTCACATTCTGTGACGTTTCTCTTCTTGATTGCTTTTGCCATTGCTTTTTCGTTTGGTTTTGCCAAAGTGGAGTCATTGGCATATTTATTAGGGGGAGGAGGCAGGGAGGGGTTTTCCACTTGTGCACGTGCACTCAGTTTCACGTTAATTCGGATGTACAAAGAGAATATGCGTGGGATTCTGCGTACACAGTCTTTCACACATCAGATTTTTTTTACTGCATACTCACATTTACAGCTGTCTGTACACAATGTTTTAGTATTAATTCAACGCAAGTCTTCATACATGAGGCCACTGGCGTCTGTGGTATCTAGGCGACCATCAACTGTTTTCTCAGAATATGTCAGTAATACGTGTTAAATGAATCAAATGTGATATTAACGACAATGATAAAGAATATGTATAGCAAATAAATACATCTTGTTTCAAGGATTAGTTTTCAGATATTAAACATGCATATTTTATTGTATTTAGATTTTGAGATTATTGTATCGGAAAACTAAAAATGCATTTTCAGCAATGCATTCAACATTAATGAGTATTGACTTCCATAGCAGGAAACATTAATGACCATCGACCTCCTTAGTAGGAAAAAAATCTACAATAAGACTACAAAAGTCAATGGGTCTTATCTACCAACATTTTTTAAAAGTATCTTGCTTTGTTTTCAAGAAGAGAAAGAAACTTCATTAGATTTTGAACAAGTGAAAATGACTAAATAACAAAATTGTCATTTTGGGGTGAACTTTCCATTTAAAATGATTTTTAAACATGCAAACTTTCATTAAAGCATTCTTTGTTTTTTTCCTACAAAAAGTTAATGGCTTTATTCAGTAATATGGGTTAAATTAATCATGTGTTATTAAGGACACAATTAGACCACATATTTATAGCAAATTAATACATCTTGTTTCAAGGATATGTTTTCAGATATTTAACATGCATATTTTATTCTGTTTAGATGTTGAGATTATTGTATTGGAAAAGTAAAATGCTGACAAAGATATACATTTTCAGCAGTGCATTCAACATTAATGATCATGCCCTTAAGATAATTGTAATATTTCAGTATATATATTTTAAAAATTGAACTAATGCAATCTTAATGGGCACAAGAGGCTGTCAAGAAATTTAAAATATTTGAGCAACTCTAAAAAGTAGAGTAAACCATTCAACCGTTTCTTTGAACAACAATAACATTTAAGTCATTGGTCAAATCCATTTACAGTTGAAGTCAGGATTATTGGCCCACCTGAATTACAAGCCCCCCTGTACATTTTTTCCCTAATTTCTGTTTAATAGAAAATATTTTTTCTTCAACACTTTTCCAAACATAATATTTTTAATAACTAATTTCTAATAACTGATCTTTTTTATTTTTGCCATGATGACAGTACATAATTTGTTTTGGAAAATATTTTCCAAGATACTAGTATTTAGCTTAACCAAGGTCTGAGTGATATAGCAAAAATGAAATCTTGATAACTATTGTCTATATTGAATAATAATGATATACATTTCAATATCAGTTGATAATGCTTCCGGATTTAAAAGAGTACACCAACAAAGACCGAAGTCAAAAAAATTAGAGGGACCATTAAATGGCATAACGTATTATAATCCGGTATCACCCTAGCTTAAAGTGCAATTTAAGGGCTTAACTAGGTTAATTAGATTTGATTAGTCTGATGGTAACTCATACTAAACGTTTACTATTTTAGTTCCGTTAGGATTACCTAAATGATTTACATTTGCTAAATGCCAGAATAATGAGAGTATTTTTCTTTTGAGAAATTGATTAATTTCTAGACAGTCAAAAGTTTACATTCATTTTCTTGGTATTTTAGCTTTGATTTTAAACTGTATAACTTTGGTAAACTGTTTTGGGTATCCTTCCACAAGCTTTTCACAATAGTTTGAAGGAATTTTGGCCCATTCCAAAGCTGAGACAGATTTGTTGGCTGTCTTGCTCGCACAAGCTTTTTCAACTCTGTCCAGAAATTTTCTATAGGATTGAGATCAGGGCGTTGTGATGGCCACTCCAAAACATTCACTCTGTTGTCCTCAAAGCACATTTTTACTAATTTGACAGTATGCTTGGGGTCATGGTGTGTTTGGAAGACCCATTTGTGGCTAGGTTTTAATTTCCTGGCTGATGTCTTGAGATGTTGCTTTAGTATTTCTACATAATTTTCTTTCTTCATGATGCCAACTATGCTGTGAAGTGGACCAGTCCCTCCTGCAGCAAAACAGCCCCACAACATGATGGTGCTGCCCCCATACTTCACAGTTGGGATGGTGTTCCTAGGCTTGTAAGCTTTCCCCTTTGTCCTCTAAATGTAACACTGATCATTATGGCCAAACAGTTCAATCTTAGTTCAATCAGAAGACAGGATATGTCTGTGTCTATTGTTGTAGTCCCAAGGTTAACAACAAGTAACTCTTCAACTGTTTTTTTGCACTCACCTGTGTACGTAAGATAAATAACCGTAAGGAAAACCACCCCCGCAGCCAGAGAAACGCCTAGAAAGAACAGTGTCTGGAACTCTTGTCTGGTGAGTCTGTCCTTCAGATACTGCAGGAAAGCGTAAGCCTGAAGCAATGCGAATACACCTGCAAACACAAATACATGCACCATTAACCCACGTACTTAACTGCTTCTCACATTTTCCCAACACTCATGAACTCCAGCTGCTGATCTGTTGTCGCGTAAACAATCTCCCAGATGGATTCGCGCTGAGAGAACGGCTCTATAAATCAATGTAAAAGAGCAACAGTTGATGAGGAATGGCGTTAAACCAGTCTTACCTGCAGCAGCCATGTGTTCACTCGTCCGGATGGGCTGGAAACCAACAAAGGGGATCTGCATGGACAGCACCAATCCCACTATATAAAAGGTGCTGTAGGCTGAGAAGAAGAAAAGAAGAGCAAAAATGAGGTGAGTAGCAAAGAAGACTAGCAGAACTGTCAAACTTGGTGTGCACAGATGGCAACTGTGAGCATTTCAAAACAGCGGAGGACAAATGGATGAAGACAGCTCTTTCAGAGATGGTTCACCCAAAAATGAAAATTCCTGCCTTTACATTCAAACGTTGTATGACTTACTGCCTTCAGAGGAATACAAAAGGAGTAATTGAAGACAAAATGTTCCAATCTCCAAAAGAAAAAAAATGCACAGTACACAAAAGCCCCATAAAACAATCTTGAAAGTGGTCTACATGACTTGCTTGTGCACTTTATTCTAGGTTCCCTGAAAAAAGAATAATGACTTGGCCTGTTCCTCGTATAAAGCTATCGTATGGCTTTAAAATAGTTGGAATAGAGAGCATCAGTCAGCTTTTATTGTGTTTCTGGTGTCTTCCGAATGCCTCAGCCTTCATTCACTGGAACTACGGGGAATAAAGAGACTAACACAATTCTTCAAAATAACTTCTGTGTTCTGTGGAAGTAAGTCATGTTGGCCTATAACAACATGAAGCAGAGGAAAAACGACAGCATTTTATTTTTGGTTGACCTGTCCTTTATCTCTTTGATAAAAAAGCTTGTGTTCCTTCATTATTACACTACAAATCAAGTTTTAAAATCAAAGGTCTAAATAGGTGATAGTCTTCAGAAATACGTTTTGCTAGATGAAAGCCTCTTTACATCCTGATCGCAATCAAAGGGCTTCTAGGATGCAAATCATTTATTGTAAGCTGTTTGGACGGCTTGGACAGTGTGCAGGTATAGTGTGTCCACAGTCATATCGGGGTGATTAGTCTCTTTAAATTTCCAGACATTATAATAAGATACAAATCCCTCCCATTTTAAGGTCCACCGCAACATGTAGGAGTGCAGTTTCCCAACCCACTGATTTGATTGACAGCCTGGTATAACCATGTCTTCGTAGTAACGTGTATAATCATATCAACACGACAGGACGTGCGCAAAGCAACTGGGTTTAAAAGATCTGTTCAGCTCTCTGTGATCATCAATCACCATCAAATGCGATTAAGAATTTTTACAAGAGTTTACAAGTTTAAAATGTTTTTAAATAGTCTTTATCATCGCAGCCACATGTTAGTAAAATTATCAAAGAAGGCGCTTCAATCTCGGTTTGAGGACGTTAAATCAGGTTTATTTTGTACATTAACAAAACTGAAATCCATAAAGCAGGGGATATTAACGTGTATCCGGTCACATTTGCTGTCCAAAAACATTGCGAAGTTAAATGCGATGATTCAAACCGTTAGAGATATAGCACAAATCGTTATATGTTTTGAACGGAGGGATCGCTGTGTTTACAGGCACAAACTCGCTTTACCTGCACATCAGCAGCGAACAAGAGGTGGGGCAGCAGACTAAAATGATAGTAGTGAAGTGCACCAGACATAACACAAACTGTGTGCAAATACAACGAAAAGACGTTGACGTACTAACAGAACAACGAATATGATGCACATAAACCATCAGCACAGGGAAAAACTACTGTCACAGTCGTTTGTACGCATAAAAAAAACCAAACCAAGAAGACCGGATGATTTGCAGCTCCGCTTGCTATGACGAGTGCTACGGAGATCACATGGTGCATCAGTGTTTTCATAGCCAAAGTGTGAAGAGAAAGTTGTGCTATTACAGAACCAGGTATTAGATTGTTTTTTCTTTCCTTTTCAAATTAGTGTGTGCTTAGTTTAATAATTTGCTTTTTATTATTGCATATTTAAAAATCTTCTCTTAAGTGTATCACCTGGTCACATACTAATTAATTACGAGTAATATTAATTATTCAATTCAATTCATGTTTATTTCTATAGTACTTTTACAATGTAGATGTTTTACAATGTAGCAGCTTAACATAGTTCTAGTCAAGTCCAGATTTCAGAGATGAAGTTCAGTTAAGTTGAATTATTCACCTTCACATTTATGTTTAACTCCTGTCTTTATCCTAATATAGAACTAGTAATTTTGTAATCAGTTTTTTTTTTTATGCCAGTGGCCAGTCCCCTGGATCAAAGGGGCTATTGACCACCTCTCTACACACTGCTCTCTGGTTTAGGAAAGACTTTCCTCTCCACACCAGCCATCTCAGTCCCCAGTGAATTTTTTTTTCAGCAGGGGACATTGTAAATGTGCAAAGACCTCAGTTTATGCCTGAAAACATAGATATGCTGGTAATTCTTTAAAATAAATAAATTTTCAGCACAAAGTTAGTTTGTTTATAATAATGAGTCTTCTTTAGTTTGTATTATTATTTATTTATTTACTTTTTTGGAATTTGTTTTTAAAATAGCAATTGAGTTATAGCAAAGTATATTATTTTGCAAAAAAAATGTGCAGCATTTAAGATTGAAAGGGCTATTACCTTTAATTTGTTTCAAATCATTTTGTAAAAAAAGAAAATTGTAACTTAATTGTATCGCAAGTTTCATAGTGTTGTGAATCATATTGAATCGTGAAACTGGTGAATAGTTACATCCAACAACTACACTATAACTGTTTCTCCTTAGTTAATGTTATGTAAAGTTGACTGGTACACTTACATGCATTCAAGAGGTTTGGCTTTGAATGGTGATATGCAGGGAGGGATGGAGGCTTTCAGTGCTATCAGGTTAACATTAGCATTTTCCAAGATTGCCTATTGCACTTTTATTACTTTTGAGCAAGAAACAAGGATCCATCACTTGTCAAAAGTGACATAAGTCATTTAGTTCACTGCTACAAAAATAATTACTTCAAATAAATGCAGGTCTTGTGAAATTGCATTTATCAAAGGATATTGACCAAGAATACATTTCACTCTACACATCACAGCAGCAGTTCAAAATCGATTAAAAAAAATGTTCCTCAAGCAGCAAATTAAAATGATTCCTGAATGATCATGTGTCATGAAGAATGAAGTAAATGACTGCAATTCCGTAATTTAGCTTTGCAGTTACGCATTTCTCTTTGAATGCTTTGTATTAGGGCTGCACAATATTGGAAAACTCTGTCATTGTGATACTTTGTATTTCTGCGATATGAACACGCCTTTATTTGAAAAAATTTCTTAATTTAAGTTTAATTAAGGTTATTTTTAGAGGAGTGAATCTCAAATAATATATAACAAATACCTCGGATCCATCCTGCCTTGTATCTACGGTTTAGGCAGGTAGTGGTGTATTGGTGTGGGGGAAGTTTCTTGGCAAACTTTGGGCCAATTAGTACCAATTGAGCATTGTGTCAAGGTCACACCCTACCTAAATATTGATGCTGACCATGTCCATCCCTTTATGACCAGTGTACCCATCTTCTGATGGCTACTTCCAGCAGGATAACGCAGCATGTCAAAGCACAAATCATCTGAGACTGGTTTCTTGAACGTGACGATCAGTTCACTGTACTCAAATGGCCTCCACAGTCACCAGAACTCAATCCAATAGAGCACCTTTGGGATGTGGTGGAATGGGAGATTTGCATTGTGGATGTGCAGCCGACAAATCTGCAGCAACTGTGTGATGCCATCATGCCAATATGGACCAAAATCTCTAAGGAATATATGTAGTACCTTGTTGAATCTATGCCACAAAGGATTAAGGCAGTTCTGAAGGCAAAAGGGGTGTACCTAATAAAGTGGCTTGTGAACTATTGTGCAGCCCTACTTTGTAGATTTTATTACAGTTTAAATAAATGAACTCTTGCTAAGCATCTGAACTGCAGTGTCACATTTAGGTTAAAATCATTGCAGGTTAAACAAAATGAAAATCCACTTTGCACTCTCCTGGTGCGAATGCTTAAAATTCTGCATCAAGGCACTCTTAATATTGTTAGTTCCTTATGATTAATTGCTGTAGCATTTTCCCCCATTTACAAATTGCTCTGGATAAAAAGCTCAGAGTAAATAAATGAAAAAGGACTCTCTCTAAAACACCACCACAATTTGCAAAGTGTGACTTCAAATGAAAAAGAGCTATTCAATTCACACTCGTTTCATACCAAATTTACATTTGTCCGATGGTAACAGTGGTGCTGTATGTGGGTCTGCCAGTAGCAGAACGAGGTTGTGAAAGCAGACGAGGGGCCTCGGATGTCCCTGAATGCAGTCTAATCTGGGCTCCTGTCCCAACAATGCAAGAGCAGTCAAGTAAAACAGCTAAACAACAGGACAAGACAAAAAAAATCCCCTTCAGAATGGAACGCAGCCATAGTGTGCATGTTAAAGAGCTCATCCTCAAGCCAAAATTACCCTCCAGGGTGAGCTCTTGATGAGATAAAGGGTATAGGAGACCTAAAAACTTCTGCATAGCAAATTAAACGCGTGCAAAGAATCTTGGGAGAAGTGTCCACCACATTATTGGACATCCATTCCAAAGGATGAAGTGTACAATTTTTAGCACTATTTTACGAGAACAACCCTTCAGTTTGACGGTCTTCATTGTTCTCATTTTTTTAAAGACCCTTGCAGACAGATTTATCTTATTTTAGAATAAACACAGGCTTAGGAAAAGAAAGGTGTATTTTAAGTGAAGTTCATTTATAAACTAATTTCGAGAGGATCCTGTGCTTATGATTGCTTGCAGCCAGTGCCGCATTATTCAATTTATGATTCACCAATTAGATGATTTCTAAGCCACTCTAAATACCCTAAGTTCCATATAACAGCCATCTTTGTTTTCAAGAATCCCCTCTTCCACCCCTACTCCTCCTTTCCTAGATAGGTGGAATGGTGGCCCAGTGGTTAGCACTGTTGCCTCACAGCAAGAACGCCTCTGGTTCTAGTCCTCACCTAGCCAGCCAACGTTTCATTAGCTAAGTGTGAACTCTTGGAGAGGGGGAAAAAAAAAAAAAAAGTTGCTAAGATATTGTGCTAGAATGCCTGTCTCAGATCTTTAAACTGTGTATTAGCCATGTTAGCCATGCTGCAAAACTATGGAACAAAATCAATGCCAAAA